AGATCAGAAGATGCTGTTTGAAACAGATCTTTGAGCAAAGAAAGGCATCCGCTACAGACTATACAAATGCAATACCTGAGAGACGGTAAAATCAAACAAGGTTTCACAACCTATAATCCGCATGTCATCCCGTCTTGTTTGATCCAAAAGAGTGCATATGATGCTCAATGCGCTACTTGCCAGTAATGGCCTGCACTGAGGAAATCAGTTTTTAGATTTTTGTAGCTATTCGAAAATAATTTACAGGTAATGGAAAGTATCTTCTGTTTGAAATCCACATCTGTTTGAACGTAATTTACAGGTATATAATGAGATATATTTGGTACTGGTCACAGCAATGTAATCTGAATGTGAAAAACAAAGGCTCACATCTGCTTTTTACAGGAGACAAGTAGTTTGCGGTATATTAGCACAACTACTTTCACAAAGCCATACTGCTCATTTCTCAACTCCTTGTAGCACCTTTGCTCTAAGTAAGCTGTAATCTGCAAAGATGCAATATGCAAGAGAATGGAAGTCAAATGGCAACTACAAATCATTCTGAGTGTACAGGACGATTATCATGCAAATCAGACAGTAATGAACAAGAGTTCCCCTAGCTTAGAGCACAATGAAAATAACTGTTGTGTCTGAAGAAAAAACTAAGTATAACTAGTAACCTGTTATACCATGTACATAGTTCCTCCCAAGTCATATCCATTTAAAAACAACAAAATAAAAGAGGAGTATCCGATATAAAAGAACCCACTGTAGTAGTTTACAACATGTTTTAGATGATCTGTTCTTATAGTACTACTTCTTTTTCTAACACAACAGCCTTTCTCTATGCAGAGTTTCTGTAATAAAAAGCGCAGTAGAAATTGGATGAATAGATAAAGTCTGAGTCGGAGTCGATGGCCGCACCTTTGGCACGCGATGATGGTTTCTAGCAACATACTCACACAGCTTCCCGATCCTCCTCTCATTCGGTTCCTCGTCCTGCAGAACAAGAAGTCATGCGGTGCAGATGAGCAATGTAGGCCATGCAACTAAAAACTAGTAGAACAATGTGTCAATGTAGGCCACTAGGCATTAGCTACTAGAACATGTAGATGAGCAATGTAGGCCATGGCACTATATATTTCGTGAATCGTATCACCTTGATGTAATTGACCGGGTTCAATACAAGCTTTCATTATCTAAAAATATATTTCTCGAAAAACTGGAGACTATAACCTATTAAGGGGAAGGGCAACCTTGTGAATTGAGCAAACCAAAAAACAAAAGACAATAATCGAGCATATAGCAAAATATAATGGGATCGCAATCCGCGCTCCAATCTTCCCAAGGGATTACAAAAATCGAAGCATTTCGAGAAAGGCTAGCTCCACGATATGGTGGGCTAAGCGACCTGAGTTCGAAGCCTCACCTCTTCTAATTATTTGCTATTAGGTCCTTCCCTAATATTCGCGTTTTAAAATCGAAGCATTTCTTCCAGGACATGACGATCTACAGGGGCGGGGGGAAGCGGTTGGCAGAGAGCAAGAGAGGACCTGAGTGGCGGGGAAGATGTCGGCGATGATCTTCTTGTAGCGCTTGACGGGCTGCCTGGATCGGGCGCGCAGGCCCGGGCAGAAGTAGCAGAGGCCACCGCACGCCGGGAGCACCTTCCTCGACACCACCCCTGACACCGTGTCGTTCAGCCCCACGCTGCCCATCTCCTCCTCCTCGTCCCCCTCACAAATCAGAAATCAGAAATCAAAGCAAGCGCAAGCGCGCTTCAAGCTGCCGCACGGAGAGAGGGAGCGGCGGCGGCGGGCGGAAATGCCTCCGCCGTCCGCCGGCGATCGAGACGTGGGGGTGGAAATGGAATCGGTGGAGGCGAAGGTGGCGAGGAGGAGGACAACGGGGTTCGCGGGAGGTGCGCGCATTTGGCGATTATTCTGGTTTTGTGTTGGCGAGACGTGGGGTCGTCGGCTTCCCCACTTCCTCTAGGCTGGCCCACCTCCCTGTTACGCGCTTTTTTTTTTTGTGAGATGTGTACGCGGAGATTTTGTGTGCGGATTTTTTTTTAAATATATATATATAATAGAAAAATAACCCTGAGTTGCAACGGGTGAAGGCTACTTTAATCATGAGCTAGGGTGAAATTCACTGTGGAAATTCGCTTGGATATTCTTTTTACAAAATCATGAGCTGCAATTAGGGGTTTGATCGTCTCAAGTTAGCATGCAAGTTTTTCAAAGAGATTTCTTATATGACTCCTTTTGTATTTCTAAAAACAAACAGAATTAAAAACCGACTCAAACACAGTTCTGTATTTTTAAGAGCGATTGAACTTAAAAACCGATTCAAACACGGATAACGTACCAAAAGTACCGGCAAAAGCATATTCAATTTTTATAATAGTACTAGAAAAATGCCCGTGCGTTGCAACGGGTGAATATTATTTTAATCTTATTATTGTTATACGGTTTTAGCTAGGATAAAATTTACGATGTGAATTCGCTTGGATTTTTTTTTTATAAAATCATGAGCTGCAATTAGGAATCTGACTTCCATATCAAGTTAGCATGCAAGTTTTTTTTAAGAAATTTCTTATATGACTTCTTTTGTATTTTCAAAAGCAAACGAACTTAAAATCCAACTCGTACACGGATCTGTATTTTCAAAAGCGGAGGAACTTAAAAACCGACTCAAATACAAATGACGTATTAAAATACCAGCAAAAATATCTTCAATTTTTATAATAGTAGAGATTTCAATCGGATGTAGTGTAACAATTGATGGCACAATGTGTGATGACACGAGATGATGAGAGTCGAGTAGCAGACGAAAATTCCATCGGAAGTCTTACGATTTTTTTTTAATTAAGTATAGATAGATGGATACTGAATGCAAATTTGATACATGAAATTTAGCTCCGGGGAAGTGGAAAATATAGATTTGGGAGTAATGACCGAAATATTTCTTCTTTAATTTAATTTGGGATGTGTAACTCATTTGCATAAACTATAGTTCCATACTAATGGCTATAACTTTAGTGCACGCTGCATGCACGCATACATGAAACTCTCATCTGACAAATCAATTCTTGGCGGTCAGCAGCAATGCGGCATGATCAGTGACGCCATGCTTTTCTCCATCGCATGCAAGACGATGCAAACTGCAAACATGATCAGTAATGATCTGGAAAGGCACGGTCCGGTGGGCCATGCGACACACGAGGCGGAGACAACACGGAGCGGACGAAAAAAAAAAGATGGTGACGCTGAGACGTGAGATATCGGGAGTCAAGACATGACGCAAAATCTGCCTTCGATCTCCATCGCGCCTCTGGATTCTGCGTGACACGGACAAGTCAAGCCCAAGCCTAATAGAAATCGAACGCAAATTTTCACGACGTACGAAAAAACTCCGGCAAAAATATCTTAAACTTTTATAATAGTAGATATAGATATATTACTTTTTCAGTGCTTCGATTGTTGATGACTATGGTTTGCAATTTCGAAACCTGGTTTTTTCCGGTGGAGACCGAAAAAAGGGGAATCACCGAAATTTTGGTTTTTTTTGCTGATTTTTTTGAATATTTAGAAAAAATGGTTGTGTGTTGCAACGAGTAAAAGCTATTTTAATTTTATTATTGTTATACAGTTTAGTTAAGATGAAATTTACTATGAGAATTAGCTTGGAATTTGGATATATATTTTTCTAGAAAATCATGAGCTACAATTAGGAGTTCGATCATCTCAAGTTAGCATGTGAGTTTTCTTAAATGGATTTCTTATACAACTCCTTCTGTGTTTCCAAAAGCAAATGAACTTAAAACCCGACTTAAATACGGATTTGTATTTCCAAAGGCGAACGAACTTAAAAAACCAACTTATACACGGATGACGTACCAAAGTACTGGCAAAAACATTTTCAATTTTTGTAATAGTAGAGATTTTGACTGAATTTAAACAAATTTTGACCAAATTTACAAATATTTGACAAAGAACTGAAAATTTCGGGGAGATTTGTGCTTGCCGGTGGGGGCCGAAAATTCAGAAATTTCGAACCGAAATTTCAAACACGATTAACGACCACAGTGCTGAATAGTATCATCCTCCGTTAGTTTCACAATATCTCTTACTGCTAACCACTACTTCCTTCATCCTAAAATATAATAGCATAAGATTTGATTGAACATATTTTATTAGTATAATATTCTAGTATTATGAATTTAAGATAGAATGCATACCTAATTTGTTACATTTTGGGAATGCTTATTATAGTTCATCCTTAGTGGAGATCTTGATCGACAGAGTTATGGATCTAATTTATTGAACGAAATATGGATCTTAATGTAAGATTATGTTGGTATAACATATAGATAAATCACTTTGGTTTCTATTTTCGATGAAATATAGAAATTTCTAATTGTTAAATGATTGTGAATGAAAGTCGCATAGTTTACTTCTACATATATTTTGAAATTTGTTAAATTGTTAAAATATAATCAAAATTTAAGTTACACTGTCTAGTTACTAGTGACAAGAATTGCGGAACGACGGGGCAATTTTATTTACAAGGGAATTGATGATGGGATTAAGATGAGAATTTGATTTTTAATCCCAATATCTTGTTTGGTAGAGGTGATGGAAATTGATAGAGAGTTTAGTTGGAGATTAGGTCATTAATAAAAACGATGGCTGAGATTTGCTTAGACAAAGGAAAGGAGGAATTCCCTCCCAATTACCTACCCCTACCCAGGTATTGAAAATAAGGGAGTTCCTCAATTCCCCATCCTATCTCACCAAAATTCTCATGTCTCCTAACCAAACAAAACACTTAATAGCCTCATCCCTCTAAACTCCCAATCCCTCCTGAAAACTCCCTCCAACCAAACGGACCATTATAGCACGATTTCGCTTAAGATTTGTGCATACCTATCCCATCTTGTATAGCCTCTAGAGTCTAGACTCGATAAATGCATGTTAACTCCACATTAGCAACTGGTCAGAACTGTAGATCATGAATGGAAGAACACTAGTAACATATATTCAAGTGAAGTAGTTTTGCTTTATGCGCTCATGATAATCATGAGATATACAGTAACATTTATGATTTATCTTACACATCAAACAAGGATGTGTCAAACTTAATTTGGGGCTCTGGGAATCCTCCAGCATAGTATTTTGAACAAAATTGACAATATAGACAAGAAAAGGAAGTAATCTCAAGAGAAGATTCATTATTTATCCTCGAGTAAATTCCTTCCATGTGCACACGGAGGTGCAGAAAAGGTTCTAAAGCTTGGACGATTGCTCATCCGCTGATGAGTACCCTTTGAGCCATGTTTTGTGGATGTGTGTTACCACGAAGCCCTCGGGGGTTTCAGGCTGAGATCATGAAACCAAAAACAGAAAGCAAAGTTAGCCCACCTTTTCAGTTTATGTAAACACGTTACATGGTACAAATGTCAAATGAATTAATGATATGTATGCATATGTATAGGAGGCATAGATAGGTTTCGGACTGAACATAGATGATGCTTACCTTCGCATTCAGTGCAAGACTTGTCAGACAACACGACCACACATCACCTGGCATTACAGCATTATTTATACAATTAGTTGAGGATCATATATGCCAAAAACTAATTATATAACATAATGGGAACATGTCAAAAGAAAAAAAAAGTTAAGGTATTGCGGCCCGCACAACTAAAAGAAAAGACTATGTTTTTTTTTAATCCAAGGTTGTCCTGAGTTCCTGACCATCGGATATGCTTTGGTGTGATGCTCAAAACTTTGCTGTTGCCTAAGTTCGGATTAATTTATAATGCAGAAAATGTGAACTCATCCCATTGAAATGCTTGGAGAACGGTGAACCCCAATACCACATATCAGGTGAAATCATTGAAATTTTATGTGGAAAGATACTGCTGTGCTGATAAGCTGATAGCACAAGTAGTTGATTGTTTACTAAAGGACCAGATATGCAGCCTAATTCCGCATTCATTTCTTTCTCACATCAGTACATATGTTGCAAACCATGTATTGGATTTACTGGTAACACTAGTTCTGTGATGCCGAATTTACTGCTTACATATTGCATTTGTATGCTGATAACTTATGCAGCCAAATGAGACTGGCCTTTCCTTTATGCACTGAATATTAATTAGAGAAATAGGATTTTCAGAAACTTCCATAACTGCAAATAATCACATGTCCACTGTTCAACTGCCCTGTGTTCTCTATTAAACACTAGTGCAGAGAACAAGGCAAGTTAATGTAACTCATGTGTCGCTTCATTGAATGAACATCTGAACCTTGTTTGTTAATGTACAGCTAGCCGTCATGCATATTTTCTCATGTTCTTGTCTTAATGTTGTATGGATGGTTGTCATGATAGTGTATGTTTTCTTGTATGGAAGACTTGACTTAGCATTAAGTGGACTTGAGTTTGCAATTATGAAGCAAGCATGGATGAGAGGGAATCATGCACTTTAAGTGGCTATGGGATCTCAGTCTATTGTGCAGCTAGGTCTTTTGATGGCCTTGCCAATGATTATGGAGATTGGACTAGAAAGAGGTTTCAGAAGCGCCCTTGGGGATTTCATAATCATGCAGCTTCAGCTCTGTTCAGTGTTCTTCACTTTCTATCTTGGGACCAAGTCACATTATTTTGGCCATACAATTCTCCATGGTGGTGCAAAATATAGAGCAACTGGCAGAGATTTTGTTGTTCGCCATGTAAAGTTTGCTAACACTTACAGAATGTACTCCAGAAGCCATTTTGTGAAAGGACTAAAGCTGATGTTACTGCTTATCAGTTGTATGGTGATATTGCTACGAATTCGACTGCCTATATACTTCTAACATCATCAATGTGGTTCTTGGTTATCACTTGGCTATTCGCTCCATTCCTCTTCAATTCATCAGGATTAGTGGCAGGAAATAGTAGACGACTGGGATGTCTGGACCAAGTGGATAAGCGAAAAGATAGGAGAGTTCAATAGTTTATATTGAAATGAGTACAGTGGGACCATATCCAGTATCATGCAGCACATTTTTCTGTTGAAATTAGAACTCTGTAGACCAGGAGGGCCATGATCTAATAGAAAACTATTAAGGGGACAGTAATAGAACAAGTTAAAACTGGGAAAATGAACACTAATTTATTTTGAAAAAGGTGCATACAACAGCATAACAGGCTAATTCAGTTATTTGGCAGAATTCTAAGGACTCACCTTCCAACTCCCACAAGTTAAATCTCACCAGCCAACCCTCTGAACCACATTGTGAGACAACCAGTCTGTCCACCCATGCTCTGTATTTCTTCCCTTGTTTGTCACCGTAACATGACCCCAATGCATCAATTGATGCATGAAGAGAACACTCAAGCCCAGCAGGATGAATAATAACTCCATTTGCATGCTAACACACAATAAATAAAATATATTAGTTTGTAAAGTCACTATAATAACAAGTCATTACCATGATCATTTTGAGATGAAACTACAACATTTTCTCAAGATTAGAATGCTCTCAGAAACTTTGAAATAGATGTGCATGCCAAAGGAGGTATATTGCTCCTTAGCCTTATAAGCTAAAGCATTATGCCATATAAACAGGTAAGACAGGAAATTTTTGACAAAAGTAAACCAAGTTATTTTTTACAGAACAAAATCAGAGTGAGAAGCTGCATACTTACAGTTATATTTTTGAAATACTGTGTAACCGAATCAGACTTTGGAACCTCAGCCCTACGCCACTTCTCGTAGAGAACATAAAACTTTACAACAGCATCCGTAGGCTTTACCGGGTTCTCCTTGACATAAGGGAAATCCACGTCTCGGGGAGAAACATTAGGTCCTAGTTTGAAGTGTCCAATGGCTTGTATGATTCCAGCAGCACACCTCTCAGTTGCATGAATTATCTTAGGATTATCCTTCGCATTTTCTGAATACCACTGAAGTAGTTCCTCTTGGGCATTGCTGACCTAAACATTTGAAAAAACTTTGTAATTGCAGTAAGCACACATTCAATCTGTTATGAACTTTGTTCGCTACTTCATGCAAAATTTATTGCATACTGACCATGACACCATGTACACCAGGGATGCTGAATAATTCTGCATCGTTGCCAGAGTCACCGCAAGCAAGAGTATTATTGGGTGGTTTTCCACATGAGCTTAACTTCTTGAGCAAATATGCAAGTGCCTGACCCTTTCCAGCACCTTGAGGTAATACATCAAGGTCCTGGCCACCGCTATAGATTATTTTAACATCTAGCTGAGAACAAAACAATACCAGTTAATCATACATGAAATCAAAACATGGATGGATGTTTCTTAAGAAACGGTCCAACACTGAAAACAAAATATGAATGTTTCTTAGAGAAAAAATTATTCAAAGCTGAGCCACATCAAGACAAATGCTTCCTCACCCCACGTTTCTCCAACTTCTCAGAGAGAGACTTTATCACTTCCTGAGCACTCTTTTTGTCAACATAGAAGCTGACCTTATGTGGACGCTGTTCCGACTCTACCTATATCCATGTAAATGTACAGCAATAAAGTGTTGTTGCTTATTAATTAGTCATCAAATTATCAAAATGGTTATAAATTAAAAGAAAGCAACCATGCAAGTTATTGAACATACCTGAAGTTTCAGCTCGGAAACATTTGCTGTCTCCTCAACAACAATATTCCTGTCCCACTTATTATTCAGATATTCCACCCAGCCATCATCAGGAACCATTTCCTCACCATATGTTATCTCAGTGCCCACAGACATGATAGTGATGTCTGGAGTTAGCATAGGTTTCTCTTTCCTCAATTCCATATACAGGGTAGGTGATCTTCCAGTCGAAAATACAAGTAAAGAATCCTGGCAGTAAACAGACTCCCACAGGGCACCAAATCTAAGCAATGACAGGTTCTCCTCGTCATGATGATCAACCTGCAAAAGTTCAAAAAGATTGAGCATTAATGAGATATACAAAATGTCATGATTAGCGCTGGACAAATCCAAGGTATGAGTTGAAAGAAACACACCATTGTATGGTCAAGATCTGAAACAATCATGAGACGCGCAGAACCATTGAGCTTATCCATTTTACCAGCCTGCAAAGATGGTTGCCAAATTGGGAAAGGTGTTAAAATCTTGGGTAAAGCACTAAAATCACTTAAAAACTATACACTGTGTTCAGTTCAGATGTTGCATCAGTGCCTCAAAGGAGTTTGAACCATTTCAGTCAGAAAGCAAAAGGGCCAATGAAAATGCCACGGTGGACGGAATTACAGATTTTGTGGCCACACCACAAATTTCCGGTCAGCTTTGATACCAACTATTACTCCCTCCTTCCCTAAATGTTTGACGCCGTTGACTTTTTTAAACATGTTTGACCGTTCGTCTTATTCAAAAACTTTTATGAAATGTGTAAAACTATATGTATACATGAAAGTATATTTAACAATAAATCAAATGATAGGAAAAGAATTAATAATTACTTAATTTTTTTGAATAAGACGAACGGTCAAACATTTTTAAAAAAGTCAACGGCGTCAAACATTTTGGGATGGAGGGAGTATTTACCAATCATCGATTTTTTACAGAACATATAGTGAAACAAGCACAGTGATTTGGTAAAAAAAAACACGTGGCCCACGAATAGGAATACTATGATGTTAGGTAGACCCGACCCATGTTGTCTGTGATTTCAAGAACACGGGACGACGCGTGTCGAGGAGCACATGATTCTCAACATTATTATTATTTTGGGTTAATTGGATTCATGTCATTATAATTTTTACGGTTTTGAAATATACCACTACTATTTGTGTATTTGGAGTCATGTCATTACAATTTAATACATATTTGAGATGTGCCATTACTTACCCCCTATGATGCACTGAAATTTGTTTTTGACCAAATTAACCCTATCTTCTTCCTCCATCCCCTTCTCTCTCTACTCCCTTTCCTCCCATCTCTCTCTGGATCGGAGCTGACCCGGTCGGCATGAATCCAGCAGCGGCTGTCGGCCTTGGACATATTTGAGATACGGCGGTGGCGTCAACGCCGGTGCCGGCCGCTGATGTGTTCTCGAAGCTCGTTTACTGATTGTACATAGTACTAGTAGGCAAATGTAGAGACATGTTCTTTCATCCGTGCATTTTTGTTCTCTTTTTCTTCGTGTTTTCTCAAAATTGATATGGGCGGTGTTGGGTGGCTCACGTGACACGGCGGCGGGCGGCGGCATGATGGCACCGTGCTAGCAGCTGCACTTGACTTCTTCGACGTTGCCCGCTAGGTCTCTCCACCATGCTTGTAATGGGAACTCAGATGATCAAATCAGGCAGAGAATGGGAGGAAAAGGAGTTGAGAGAGAAAGGGATGGAGGAAGAAAGCACGGGCAATTTGGTCCAAAAATAAATTTCTATGCATCTAAGAGGTATGCAGTGGTATTTCTCAAATATCTACTAAATTGTAATGGTATGACTTTAAATAGGTAAATAGTAGTGGCATATTTCAAAATCATAAAATTTATAATGGCATGGATCCAATTAACCCTATTATTTTTGTCTTGGGCGAAACAGTAGGAATAACACAGTAATTCATACGAAATCACACGCAATAATCGCCACACAATTCCCAAATCCCAAACAAAATGCACGGCACCGCCGATCGAAAGAAATGCACACCACCCCGCTAAATCAGAACCCGCGTGCGGATCAGAAATCGACCGCGAGAAAGCCGCCGCCTCCCGCAGGACGAAGAAGAGACCGATCGATCTGGAGTAGACGGAGGAGGAGGAGGGATCGGAGGGGCGGGGAGATCACACCTGCGACGCGCCGCGCGCGCGGCGGCGGAGGGAGCAGGAGGCACGGGACGGGGCGGCGACGGCGAGGGCGCGGGTGGCGGAGGCCGCGGGGCGCGCGGGGGAGGAGGGAGAGGGAGAGGTGTGTGCGGTGGCGATTGGTTGTCTCGGGGAGAGGGGAGAGAGAAGAAGAAGATGCCGTTGCATTGCGGAGGGAGGGCTCCGCGTGTCTCGGGCCCACGCCTTTTGCCCGTACCCGTTTGAGCGGCACATACCCGATAAGGCGATAAGGCCCAATAGGCCGGAGGTTTTGTGAAAAAGCCCCTCTTGACTCCCAGGGGTTTGGAGAAGAAAACTCCAACTCCCTCGCTCTATTCGGAGCATTGACTCCACTCCAGGGGATCGGAGAAAAAAACGCCGATCCCTTTGGATCTTCTATGACCATCCGATCATAAATAGGCGGTCTAGATTGGACAAGGGTGAAAGATGCATAGCATTTTTCATAAAGACTTAAATCTTTTTCCGTACATTAAGTTCCAAATGGGCGGAGATTTGCAAAAAGGACCTTTCTTTTGAGTGTTTTTTTAGGAACCTTTTGAGTGTTATTGAGTCATTCCCAGGGTGATAGGAGAAGACGACTTCCGACCGCCTTTGGCTATTTTGTATGGATCATGAATAACGGCGCCTTTGGCTGTCTGAATTGGGCGAGGGAGAAGAACGCTGTGACGGAAATTTTTAGAAAACATCCTATATTAAATAATTTACCGTACAAAATAATACCTCATAACTCCAGACGCCGAGTTCCGAGAACGGCGATACGCTGCCATCAAACAACCCAAACGGGCACGAGTAAACTTTATCTATGTGTCTGGTGACTGCTGGTAGATTGGTACTCTTCAAAGGAGCGAGGCATTTTTCTTCACATAAGTGTTAAAAGGATTTACAATTGGAAAATTGCCCTTGTCTACAGAAACAGGTGATGAACATGGCTCACAGGCATTAGCCATACACCTTTTGCATACACATTACAGTACAACAGTAACCTGACACTAATCCACGGCTCACGAGATATCAGTTGCTCACTCCTCAAGAACAAGAGAAAAAAAAATCTCAATTGCTTTGGCTCCCCATTCCTTTCCCTCCTCCAAGCGATGAAAGCACATCATCTGAATCAACCACAACCTAGAAGCCCACAAACAGAGAGTGTCGTCAACATGTGACATCTAGAAAACAAATACAGAATTGAAAGGGGAAGCCATTAAATGTAGTACTAACTTGCTGAAGGTGACTCATCAGAGATCCATGTAGCAACTTCTTGAGCCTGTCGCACTGATCCACACTGTGGCCAGCATTTTGCATCTCTTCTAGCTGACACCACAGCCTCTCGATGGCAGTGTATGGGAACCAGGTCGCTGACATATTTTTGCGGTGGAGAACGTCCACAGGTCTCTGCAGGATGGTTTCAAAGGGTGTAACTGTCAGCATGTGCTTGCAAACATCTTGCAATTGGATTTTTGAGTTTGTTGATCTATTACCGATGATGCGAATGATTCCAAGTACTCGACCAGCAAATTGGCCGCTTCTGTGTGCCGTCCATAATTTATGTACAATCTAAATAATGTAGCAGGGTCTGCCTCTGTGCCAGACATACCCCATGAAATCATCCTGCTACCAGCCTTGGTGTAACTAATAGTTCAAATGGTCAATCAGATACAAATGGAAGGTACAAATGGAAGGTCAGTGGTCAATCAGATAATAGTTGGTGTAACTATTGGAATATATACATCAGGAGATCACCTTAAACATCTGGACTAGCCAAAGTGGTAGCTCAATCTCAGGGTCTGTGTAAAGAAGTGTTTCCGCAACAATGACAGGCAACCTCGGATGCAAATCTTTGTATTTCTCCTGCAGAACAGAGATAAAAATTGTAGTTTGTGAAATTGACAGAGAAGCTCCTTCAGAACTGTCCGAGTATCATGCAATACTTCAAGATTCTCTAACAGAGAAGTTCATGTCGAAACATGAATTCGGCAATAATAAAACGGGGTAGCGCACGAGACCTAAAAGTGGATGGATGCAGAGACAAAGGATTTAGACAGGTTCAGGCCCTCTCAATGAGAGGTAATACCCTACTCCTGTTTGGGGATTTGAATCCGCCGGGTGTAGTATAGATCTGACGATCAAGTTGTCTCATGCCCCCTAGAGGGCCTCCTGCCCACCTTATATAGGATGGGGGCAGGATTACAAGATAGAAACCTTAACCAACACGGTATCGGTTTCCTAAATCTACTTTACAATCTTATCTAACCAGGACTTTAGGCCGTTCCATAATATACAGGGAAACGTAATACCCAAGTCATAATCTGTTACATATTTCATATATATAAGTTATCCCCTATAACTAGTCGGATAACCATGCCGTGTGGGTATGGGGTACCCATAATCTCCACAGTAGCCCCTGAGACCTTCACAGTCGAAAAGATAATCTTCTCTCGAACTAGATTACTCCAAAACCGAGTACTTCAATCATCTTTGCCATGGTCTCCCGAGTATTTTTACCAAATCTGAAGACTGTGGAGGGCTGAAAAATAAAGTCAGGTGCATCGACTAGATGCACCGAGTGGTTTCGATAATTGTAGTCAACCAAGCGACTTAATATTAATATGTAGCATATGCGGTGTGAATCCCTGAATAATATGATCCAAGTGATATACCGACTGCTTTGTAAAATATGATGAGTGTAACCTAAAGTTGGCTACATCATTGAAAATTCACATAGCAAAATAGCTATAAAGAAGCTTGTATGTTGTGAATAAAGAAATTTCCAAAGTATTGGGCATACGCCATGCGCACACTGCTTTAACAGATGTGCTTAAGTCCCTAGAAGACACATGGTTCCACCACACCTGGAAATATATGGCATATGTGGTATAAAATCCGAGTAAATAAACTCATAAAGGATTTACCAACCGCCTGAAAAATGACCACAATATATAATCAGCCTAAGCCATAATATTGGTCAATAAAAATGCACACTTACGTGGCAAAAAGCAATGATATTGTATCCAATCAATTGCTTAAAAACCCAAACAGCACCATGACTATATAAAAAAGCCAGCGGGGCAGCTATATAAAGCTTTACTGTTTGACACCTTTTAAGATGCATTGTACCAACTCCTAAAAAGTTGAGTAACTGCGGTATAAAAGGATTTTAAGGTATTGGGCACTTGATCACGCGCACTTTGGCCTAAGCAAAAAGTGCCTAAGTCCCTAAAAGAACGTGACAGGCCACACCTGAAAATATGGGCTGCAAACATATTAGGCCTAGGCCAAAAAATATGCCTTCGATACCCTTTAAAGGATGACACATGTAACATGCTCCCGGGTGATATAGACCATGTGATCTGAGTGATTATCCCTTATGGGATACTCCAAAATAGATATAACAATTGAATCCCGACTGGCGCAAGTATTCAGTTGATAACCCTTACGGGGAATAATAAATAGTCCAGTCTTTGAGCATATAAAATAGACCCATGATCATGAATTCATGTTGCATATATCCGGAGCAAGTCCAAATTGAAGATATAATACTTGTATTTGAGCTAGTAAGCCCCTGAGCACGTAGTCACAATTGTTCATTGATGGTAGCTGACGCAGTTGGCATAGAGACAAGACGACCAATATAGAGATAATATTGCCCAACAGAGGTGGCAAAAATATTGGTGGTAGTGAAGATAGTGATACCAATCAAAAGTGATGAAGTTGCACAGCCGTGGAGGCGAAGAAACCAGTCGGCAACAGTCAGGTCAGCCATCAATGAAGATGAAGGCGCCCAGCGATAAAGTTGTGTAGCCATGGCAGCGAAATAATCAGTCGGTGACAGACGAGGCAGATCAAAGGCGATGACGAAATCCACCAATCATGAAGATGAGGAAAATAGTCGGCGACGACAAACGTAACCGACAGTAATGATGATAAGCATCAACAGAGATGATCAAACATGATGACGAAGTTGCCTATCAATAGCAGTAGAGTAAGCTATGATAAAGAGGTTTGACAGGATGTTGATGAAGATGACGATGTCGGTGATCCAGTCAATAGCGGTGTAATAGCCGATGATAATGACGAAGACGCTCATCAGCGTTTGCATAGTAGGTCAACCGTGAAGGCGGAATAGCAAGTTGGCAAAGTCTTAGTCATCCATTAGCAACGGCGGAATGTCAGAGCTGATGAAGCAGATGTGCTGGTGATGATGTCAGTGACAATAATCCATCAAACTGTTGTAGATGCTTCACTTGGAGGAAAGTATATGCTGTTGTTCAACTCATTGAATCTGATATGAGTTGATTGGTTGATGACTCCAAACTCCCAGACATGTAAATTTAATCTTGACCTACTGCTCTGAAGCGAAGACAAAATTGATGACTCCCAGAGTTGACTTGTTGGCTGATTAATTGATTGCTTCATCTTGACATAAAGCTTGTCAAATTTTGAGCCATGTATTTGTGTAGCCCCCGACTCTTTGATTAGTTGGGAAACAACTGAACATAGAGTCGAGAATTATAGCTTCTTGTTGTCGAGTAGTCATCACTTGATTGAAGATATGTGTTGAAGATGTCCAAGTAGAAATCCTGAATATTGGAGAGCCACTTGTTGTAGTAAAATAACATGGCATTGCATGCCGAGATGTCGAGGTTCACAAAGACGTCGTGGGTGGTGAAGTAGTAAAACTTGCGAAGTAGCAACAATAGAGTTTGCCGGTGCCGAAGATAATAAAGATGAAGTCGCTCCACCATGATGACAAAGTTGTATTGCCGTAATGAAGTGAACACAAGTCGGCGGCAACAGAAGCAAACCGGTAGTGAAGACGCGCAGTTGTGAAGATAAAAGCACCAGTCGGCGGCGGCATAATCAGTCGGCGACGGAAGATGATGATGTCCATCAGTAGTGGTAGCTGTATAAACCAGACGTAGAGGCGAGGGCACTAGTCAGCAGCAGACGAGACGACCAGCGATGAAGATGGTAAGGCCAATCAACACTGGCAGAATCATGCAGCCATGGAAGTGAAGAAACCAGTCGGCAGCCATGACAAACGTAGGCAGCTTGTGTTGAAGATACTGATGCCTATTAGTAGTGACAGCGATGTAGCCAGCCGTGAAGAAGATAGCATCAGTTGGCGTTATAACAGGCCAGCCGTGCAGGCGGTGACACCAGTCAGCGGCGGATGCGGCGGCCGGTCGGTGAAGACGTAGACGCCCAATAACGGCAGCATAATAGGCCAGCCGTGCAGGCGGAAACACCAGTCGGCGGCGGTCGAGGCGGCCGGTCGGTGAAGACGTAGACGCCCAACAACGGCGGCATAAAGGCCAGCCGTGCAGGCGGAAACACCAGTCGGCAGCGGACGAGGCGGCCGGTCGGTGAAGACGTAGACGCCCAACAACGGCAGCATAAAGGCCAGCCGTGCAGGCGGAAACACCAGTCGGCAGCGGACGAGGCGGCCGGTCGGTGAAGACGTAGACGCCCAACAACGGCAGCATAAAGGCCAGCCGTGCAGGCGGAAACACCAGTCGGCGGCGGTCGAGGCGGCCGGTCGGTGAAGACGTAGACACCCAACAACGGCGGCATAAAGGCCAGCCGTGCAGGCGGAAACACCAGTCGGCAGCGGACGAGGCGGCCGGTCGGTGAAGACGTAGACGCCCAACAACGGCAGCATAATAGGCCAGCCGTGCAGGCGGAAACACCAGTCGGCGGCGGTCGAGGCGAGCCGGTGGTGACGTTCTGACTGATCCATTCCTGGAGCGTAAGAGATAAGCTTAAAGCCATGAATCCCTTTTATGCATATCTGGATCTGGATCCTGCAGAACAAACATATAGGATGAGTAGTATCTGATATAAATATAATACTCGAGAAAAAATCAAGTATTTTAAAATATTTATAAATATGTATTTCTCCTCTTGTCAATTTTGATTTCCCCGAGCAGATGACTCTGTACGTTTAAACACTCTGTCCGACTAGTCATAACCATCAAGCACCGGGAGTCGGCCTAGGCACTTCCCAAACATGCATATGAGTGACATGAGTTCGTCATTAATGGAACAAAGTTTCACGGATCAGAATTTTCTACTCGGGTACTTTTGCAATTATTAAGAGCAGAAAATAAATTTATCTCATCTCTATGCTTTTGATTTATTCCGAATAATACTTAGCACCTTGCGTTACTCGGTCCATCCAACGAGCCCCCGGGTGCTAGGAATCGGCCCAAAGGCAACCATCCATTGGCAAACCAAACGGAAAGCATAGGAAGATAGAACTCCATAACTCGATAGGTACTTTTGTACTCAGATTATGTCGCAAGCAATCAAGATAAATATTATGAAAAATATGATATAACATCTGTAGCCCCCGACTCACTACTCAATGGAAGACCAATTGGTGTAGTGAGGCAGAGGAAAAGGAAAAATATCATATAAAGAATAAAATAAATGATGACTTAGCTTTATAATATTCCCCTTGGTGATGGCAGAAGTGGCCAATGTGGGAACAAAGTCGTCCATCAATAACAATGAAGACACCAGTCGGCGGCGACGAAGGCGGTCGACGGTGAAAGCGAAGATGCCCACTAATGGCGGCATAATAGGTCAGCCGTGTAAGCGGAAACACCAGTCGACGGCAACGAAGGTGAGCCAACGGTGAGGACGTAGACGTCCAACAACGGCGGCATAATAGGCCAGCCGTGTAGGCGGAGGCACCACTCGGCGGCGACGGAGGCAGGCCGGCGGTGAAGTCGTAGACGCCCAACAGCGGCGGCATAATAGGCCAGCCGTGTAGGCGGAGGCACCACTCGGCGGCGACGGAGGCAGGCCGGCGGTGAAGTCGTAGACGCCCAACAGCGGCGGCATAATAGGCCAGCCGTGTAGGCGGAGGCACCACTCGGCGGCGACGGAGGCACGCCGGCGGTGAAGTCGTAGACGCCCAACAGCGGCGGCATAATAGGCCAGCCGTGTAGGCGGAGGCACCAATCGGCGGTGACGGAGGCAGGCCGGCGGTGAAGTCGTAGACGCCCAACAGCGGCGGCATAATAGGCCAGCCGTGTAGGCGGAGGCACCACTCGGCGGCGACGGAGGCAGGCCGGCGGTGAAGTCGTAGACGCCCAACAGCGGCGGCATAATAGGCCAGCCGTGTAGGCGGAGGCACCAATCGGCGGTGACGGAGGCAGGCCGGCGGTGAAGTCGTAGACGCCCAACAGCGGCGGCATAATAGGCCAGCCGTGTAGGCGGAGGCACCACTCGGCGGCGACGGAGGCAGGCCGGCGGTGAAGTCGTAGACGCCCAACAGCGGCGGCATAATAGGCCAGCCGTGTAGGCGGAGGCACCAATCGGCGGCGACGGAGGCAGGCCGGCGGTGAAGTCGTAGACGCCCAACAGCGGCGGCATAATAGGCCAGCCGTGTAGGCGGAGGCACCACTCGGCGGCGACGGAGGCAGGCCGGCGGTGAAGTCGTAAACGCCCAACAGCGGCGGCATAATAGGCCAGCCGTGTAGGCGGAGGCACCAATCGGCGGCGACGGAGGCAGGCCGGCGGTGAAGTCGTAGACGCCCAACAGCGGCGGCATAATAGGCCAGCCGTGTAGGTGGAGGCACCAATCGGCGGCGACGGAGGCAGGCCGGCGGTGAAGATGACGATGCCCATCAACGGTGGTGTGACCAACCGACCGTATAGGCGGGGACACCAGTCGGCGGCGACGGAGGCAGGCCGGCGGTGAAGTCGTAGACGCCCAACAGCGGCGGCATAATAGGCTAGCCGTGTAGGCAGAAACACCAGTCGGCGGCGGCGAAGGCCAGCCGGTCAGCGAAGACGTGGACGCCCATGAACGGTGGTATGACCAACCAACCGTATAGGCGAGGACACCAGTCGGCGGCGACGGAGGCAGGCCGGTGGTGAAGTCGTAGACGCCCAACAGCGGCGGCATAATAGACCAGCCGTGTAGGCGGAGGCACCACTCGGCGGCGACGGAGGCAGGCCGGCGGTGAAGTCGTAGACGCCCAACAGCGGCGGCATAATAGGCCAGCCGTGTAGGCGGAGGCACCACTCGGCGGCGACGGAGGCGGGCCGGCGGTGAAGTCGTAGACACCCAACAGCGGCGGCATAATAGACCAGCCGTGTAGGCGGAGGCACCACTCGGCGGCGACGGAGGCAGGCCGGCGGTGAAGTCGTAGACGCCCAACAGCGACGGCATAATAGGCCAGCCGTGTAGGCGGAGGCACCACTCGGCGGCGACGGAGGCAGGCCGGCGGTGAAGTCGTAGACGTCCAACAGCGGCGGCATAATAGGCCAGCCGTGTAGGCGGAGGCACCACTCGGCGGCGACGGAGGCGGGCCGGCGGTGAAGTCATAGACGCCCAACAGCGGCGGCATAATAGGCCAGCCGTGCAGGCGGAAACACCAGTCGGCGAAGGCCAGCCGGTCGGTGAAGACGTGGACGCCCATGAACAGTGGTGTGACCAACCGACCGTATAGGCGAGGACACCAGTCGGCGGCGACGGAGGCAGGCCGGTGGTGAAGTCGTAGACGCCCAACAGCGGCGGCATAATAGGCCAGCCGTGCAGGCGGAAACACCAGTCGGCGAAGGCCAGCCGGTCGGTGAAGACGTGGACGCCCATGAACGGTGGTGTGACCAACCGACCGTATAGGCGGGGACACCAGTCGGCGGCGACGGAGGCAGGCCGGCGGTGTAGATGACGATGCCCATCAACGGTGGTGTGACCAACCGACCGTATAGGCGGGGACACCAGTCGGCGGCGACGGAGGTAGGCCGGCGGTGTAGATGACGATGCCCATCAACGGTGGTGTGACCAACCGACCGTATAGGCGAGGACACCAGTCGGCGGCGACGGAGGCAGGCCGGCGGTGAAGACGATATCGCCATCAGCAACGGCAGCGGCGCACACCAACCGTGGAGGCGATGAAACCAATCGGCAGCGACGAAGGCGGCCGGCGGTACATGTATAAAATAATAGATCAAATAATAATTAGTGATCTGTGAATTAATTCTAATTTATATAAGAAAATTTAGAACGATAAACCTGGTTTGTGATCCAACTTTGATTCGAGGCCTGTCAATGGATGAACCGTAGCATGCAGCCGTGTCATGCAGCCGTGTAGACATGTAATCGTCGGTAGCACATGCACGGATTAGTTTGGAGACCACTTTGTGCATGTAATAGCTGATTTGTGTATGGATTAATTTCCTTGACCACAGATTTGACCAGGTATATTTAATTTGTATCCTGGACTTTGTGTCTTGCCGTACGTATCCGAGTAGTATTGACTTGGTGATGTACAGGCTCAACCAACGGTGATCTTCGCATGATTTTGGCGGCGGCTGCTTGCTGATTGCTTCAAATCATGCCCTGGTGACGAAACCGACGGACCAACAGATATGGCAGCATTGTAGCGACGGATTTGATCTCACTGACGGAGGTAAAATTGACGGTAACAAGCTGGTTGTAGATCGATTCGATCGGTGATTAATCTCCTGGTTGATTGACCAGATCCAGATAGAATTTTTGGCGACGAAGACCCTGCCCTTTTGTTGAGAGGATCACGGCCAAAGACAAGAGTAGCACCGATGATGCCGGCACAAAGTTCCATCGCACTTCTCGACGGAAAACTCGACGCAGCCCCTACCTGGCGCGCCAACTGTCGAAACATGAATTCGGCAATAATAAAACGGGGTAGCGCACGAGACCTAAAAGTGGATGGATGCAGAGACAAAGGATTTAGACAGGTTCAGGCCCTCTCAATGAGAGGTAATACCCTACTCCTGTTTGGGGATTTGAATCCGCCGGGTGTAGTATAGATCTGACGATCAAGTTGTCTCATGCCCCCTAGAGGGCCTCCTGCCCACCTTATATAGGATGGGGGGCAGGATTACAAGATAGAAACCTTAACCAACACGGTATCGATTTCCTAAATCTACTTTACAATCTTATCAAACCAGGACTTTAGGCCGTTCCATAATATACAGGGAAACGTAATACCCAAGTCATAATCTGTTACATATTTCATATATATAAGTTATCCCCTATAACTAGTCGGATAACCATGCCGTGTGGGTATGGGGTACCCATAATCTCCACAGTTCATTTCAGAGAAACATTAAATATAGGAAAAAGCAAAGAGCACAGACCAAATATATTTCAAGAGTCTCCCAATGGCAACTCCCCTGGGATTGATGAGCCATGGCAATACTGTTACCATTGCCATTACGGGCAGCATCATCGGAAGATGGCAGCAGTAAATTCTTCCGACGCAAGTATGCATTAGGTCGTCGCCGATTGCGCAATAACTGAAACTGAAGCGTTAAATTAGATGGAGAAGGCACGGCGGGCGGCAATGGCGCGGCGGCAACAAACAATTAATCGAGAGTTCGCACCTGCATTGGTACAAGCGCTTCGGCTCGCCAAAACGCGGCGTCCTCGGAGGAGATGCCGCAGCGGCGGAGGCGACCGGGGGGAGGAGGTAGTCCAGCGGCGGCGGGGAGGAAGTCCTCCTCGTACCTGGCTGTGCCCAACAACTCCCGCACCAACTCAATCAGCAGATTACCCTCGGCTGGAGGAGGACGGTGGAGGTCAGTGATCTCGCCTCCGGCCGCGGCAGTGGCGGCAGGCGGCGACACCGCGGCCGCCGGTGATCCGCGCCACCACGCCGACGCCGTGGTGCCTGACCACCCCCCGCATTGCTTCTCTTGGTTTCAAATCAAATGGGGAGGGGGACGAAATGGTTGCGTGTGAAAAGAAAAAGAAAAAATACAGCCAAATATAAGGCGGTTGGAAGCTAAGAATAAACCTCCTTTTTTAGTTTTTTTTGGCAGTATAAGTCCCCGGGATTTCATTCTCGTGTCTTATGCTTTACAAATACAACTAGTATGGTGGCCCGCGCAAATTGCGCGGCTAGCATCATTATATTTTCTCTCATATAATAACATATATGTTTTCTCATTATATTATTAAAATATATTACAATGATAACATAATTTTAAATTTTGCAATAACTTTACGAAACTACTAATGTGTAATATTCATATTGTATTTTATATACGTGTTAGTTATTAATTATTTTTAATATCAAAATTTAGTTATTTGTAAATTATATATATTCCTATATGGACTCTATACTCGTCTTTTAATATTTCTTTTTTTTTAATTCTGAATGTTTATTATTTCTAATTGTATTTCTATGTGGATTCTAAACTCATCTTTCAATATTCTTTACTTTTTAATTTCAAATTTTAGTTACTTCTAAATTGTATTCCTATATTGACTTTAAACTCTTCTTCCCATGTTTTTCTTAATTTCGAATTTTAGTTGTTTGTAAATTGTATTTTTATACGGACTCTAAACTCTACTTTTGATTTTACTATGTTTATTTCGAATTTTAGTTAGTTTTAAATTCCTTTATGGACTCTATACTCTACTTATAATATTTTTTAATTCCAAAATTCTTTTTTTTATTAATTGTATTTCTATGTGGACTCTATACTATACTTTTAATATTCCTTATTTTTAATTCCGAATTTCTATTATTTCCTAATTGTATTTCTATATGAACTCTATACTCTACTTCTAATATTTCTTATTTTTAATTCTGATTTTCAGTTCTTTCCTAATTGTATTTCTATATGGACTCTAGTCTCCTCTTGTAATATTTTTTATTTTTTAATTCCGAATTTCAATTATTTCTAAATTGTATTTCTATATGGATTCTAGTCTCCTCTTCTAATATTCCTTATTTTTTAATTCCGAATTTTAGTTATTTCTAAATTGTATTTCTATATGGACTCTATTTTTTCTTTTTCTCCGATTAATGGGAGAATTTTTAGGTCATGAGAGCGAACGTGGAGGCTCCTTTTTATTCCGAATTTTAGTTAGTTTTAAATTCCTATATGAACTCTATACTCTACTTCTAATATTCCTTATTTTTAATTCCGAATTTCAGTTATTTCCTAATTGTATTTCTATATGGACTCTAGTCACCTCTTCTAATATTCCTTATTTTTTAATTCTGAATTTCTATTTTTTTCTTAATTGTATTTCTATATGACTCTATACTCTACTTCTAATATTTCTTATTTTTAATTCCGAATTTCTATTATTTTTTAATTGTATTTCTATATGGACTCTATGTTCTACTTCTAATATTCCTTATTTTTAATTCCGAATTTTAGTTCTTTCCTAATTGTATTTCTATATGGACTCTAGTCTCCTCTTCTAATATTCCTTATTTTTTAATTCCGAATTTCAACTATTTCTAAATTGTATTTCTATATGGACTCTAGTCTCCTTTTCTAATATTCCTTATTTTTTAATTCCGAATTTCAGCTATTTCTAAATTGTATTTCTATATGGACACTGCTTTTTCTTTTTCTCCGATTAATGTGAGAATTTATAGGCCTTGAGAGCGAACGTGGAGGCTCCTTTTTCTATTCCTTTAATAATATAATAGATAGAGACAATGTACCGCTTTTTTTTTTGTTTATTATATAATATAGTCTAATTAGTGCTTCTACAGTTTGCCAACTGACCTATCGATTACTAGAGATATTACTATGTACTCTTTTACCATCATTACTTTTTATGTAATCAATGAGAAGATATGTCTTCAATAACTATAATCGTGGTTGTTCATAGCCCTTCTTTTACATGAATCAATAGGAGACGTCTCATTATGCCATTCTCAACCCAATGACTAGGATGGTGTCCATAGCATTAAATAAGCTGTCACCTAGGATGAAAAATGATGTGGCAAGTGAATAAATGAGGAAAGAGAAGGAAATCATGTCTTGCATGAGACATAATTTCTACACAACATCTAAGACATCATGTGAGATAAGTAGCATTAAATTGAAGCATAGAATAGTGGTGTTTGCATTGAAAGAGTAATGTCTAGTACTAGTTTCTTGATGATGTGGAGTTTATGAAAACCATGTCTAGTGTCATGGGTTGGGAATAGCCTTAGTGGTTACATGGTTCTATCTCACTAGTAGTTACATGGTAAAAGAGTAATCTATAGATCATTCATAAGCCTGTTCAGATCTTAAAGCATGTATAAGTTTAGAAAGTGAGGTCAGAGGCAGAGTGACATTATGTACCACTTTCTTTGCCTCTCTAGTATAAACCTTCACAAGTACAGAGCAATGAACATTTAGATAGCACACATCTTAAAGCACACCAACATTCCAGATTTTAGGTGCAAGTGCATATGCTTTTCTATATACACACACATATTCATGATTCTCATGAAAGTATGATTTGGTTGGATACAGCATAGTACCAGTACTCAAGGGGCTGATCAGTACTGTAGGAGGATGGGTTGCTCTCTTCATGATTTGTCTGGACAATATAAAATATCAGGGACCAAAGAGCGAAACTTCAGAGATTACATTAGCAACATATGGGATACTTCTACGTCAGAAGGATACTGAAATACTGTAATGTCTGAACTTGTCTGAACATTATAAACTCTCATATCTGAGTTTTTCTTATTCTTTTTTTTTTTTTGGATCAAAGCATTACGCCGAGCCTTCATTGAAATCATAACAGGGTACATGATGTTTTTGCTGGGGATTCCAGCTTTCTAAAAGAACAGACCAAAACACAACATACTCTTTTTGATCGTTAACATTCAGGTACAGAACAGAACAAGCATTACAGGGGCACAGGCGCCCAGCAACCTGAAAATCTTCTTCTCGACCCCTTCCAGATTCCTCATTTCTGCTGAAACAGGGCCCAAAATCTTCTGTATGCGCTTCATTTTGGGAAATTCTCTTATTCTGCTCTTCCATGTGTGACACCAAGTACAAAACAATATCTGGTGGTACTGCAACCATTGCCACTGAGCACCGCTGCTTCTGGGAGCAGTAGTAGTTCACCGAGACTACACTGTGAGTCTGCGACTACAACTTCATCCCCTGTACCCTCGAAAACAAAACAGCAATGTAGAGAAATTAGGATAATAGGGTACCTCTATTTCCAAGTGGGGGTATTGATTTCAATTCTGATTACTAATTTGTGAAAGAGGTAGAACAAAACTGCTCGCTGTACATGGAAATTATTGCTGGCCGAACATGGAGTAACCATGTACTAGTTCTTGGCTTCTTGCACATCAACATGCATGCCCATGCAGGAAATTACTGCCAGATGATGTTTCCAACCTTGTACACATTCATCTGAAGAGATTGCCTGCAAACATCAAGGGCACAGAAATTCATCAATGAACCAATTCACCACCTTTTTTTCTTTTGCATCAAACTATGCTTCAATGCGTCAAACAAGAAGAGATGGACGAAAAATCATACTTGTATTCCATATAAGCAAATAACACACACATGAAAAATCTTCAAATATCTTACAAATACCCAAGATCGTATGTTAGGAAGTCTTAAGGCCACTGCATATATATCTGTTTGTTGAGCTGATAAAGGCAACTGCTGCCTTCAGCAATCATGCAAAGGAAGCATAACAAAAAATTCTCAGAAACACGATGGTATTTGAAACTTCAATGTTAAAACAAGGGGAAAATAACTTTAAATGTTCCATAGGAAGCACGATGCCATTGGAATCTTTAAGTTTTATGTAGCCAAAACCATAAAATTAGTAACACTGTTGATAGGATGGGAATATTGGTGCGTGAGAACATGACTAATGATGACGGTACGCAGGACATCTGATATCTTCCCAATTTATGGATAGCATATACAGTAAGCAGTTTGAATAATATCGTAAAAGGGAAATCTGTGTGCATCCTGGTGTTCTAAGGATACTGCAAGTGAAACAGTTGTTCTGCATGCATTTTAGCAAGAAATATGTTGAAACATCAGGAGGCAGGAACATAGTTCCCTTATAAAACGTGAATCAAAACATCTTCAACTCTTTAAAACATAAGCTCATTCTCCTCTCGGGAAAAAGGAGAACATAGCATTGAGGACAGCACGAGGAAAATTGAAAAGTAAGAAAAAAACATACTTATGATTGTGTCTTCAGATGCATCAGTTTATTATGCTTATATCTTAATACCGGGTAATTACTCCGATTACCTTACCCCTCTGCCCCTTCTTTTAAGGAGGTTCCAGAGCACCCAGTCACAGCTCGTCGCAAGAAAGGATTGATGGTCGAGTCCCCATGCATGAAGTCAGTGAATTTGAGTGAACTGACCGAACTACAAATCGACATACTCGAGGAAGCGTTGTGTTAAGATGCTTTTTTGTTAAGATAGCCTAATAATATGTGAAGAGCATCACTCTAGAGCCTCTTTGCTGTAGAAAATAAAATGATAAAAACCATGTAAATATAAACCTGTATACTTAAATTCCTCTACCTAGCTTTCTTTTGCATGAACCACACCTTAATTGAATATCAAATCAGAGTACAATTTGTTAATGATTGTTCCAAGAAAACCAGATAATATGAGTTTAATGTCCTAAGAAAAAAGGGCTAATGAACATACCTTTGACACATGCTAAGAGGCAGCAGAGTTTTTATGTGTCTAGGTGCCATGCATATAACTAGATAATAAGTGCATTCCAAATAAAGCAGAAGTGTACATCATATTCTCTGCACACCTAATCATAGTCCCTGCCAATTGGTTAACATCCTTTTCCCCGCGAGAGCATGGAAGAAAATATGAAAATTATTCGCTACCATGCATCGACAAGTACCTGCCAAAGAAAAGTTAGATCAATATAGGAATTGGAGCAACCACAAAATATAACCTAATAAGCAGACAGTACCTGCAGGCAGAGCAAACTTTAGCTCAATTGTATTTGATTGATTCAGCAACTGTTGAATTCAAGCACATATCGGCAAGCCATGTAATATAACAAACATTTGTAACGTTCCAGACACATCAAGACAACTCTTCAGTCAACTGGACAGATCAAACACCAACAAGTCATAAAGGGATGACCAACCAACTGGGCAAAAATCCATTGTTTTGAGTCTGCAAATTAATACTGCAATAGGAATAACAATAATCATGAGAAGAGTGATTAGTGAAGCGCATTTTAGATACCTTCAAGCAGGCGTTACATTCCCCTTCTTGCTGAGGAGCTTTGCTGCCAGAGGAGAGGAACTGCCGTGAGATACTCACCGCAAGCCTCCCAGGACCTAGGAAGCCACAACCGCTGCTGCTGCCATGGTCAGCTTGGTCCTACCCTCTAGTGGTGACCTCCCACTGCCACCAGGCCTGCTTCTTCTCTCCCCCTAGGGTCCCTACGGCAACCATCACAGCAAGCTGCTGCAACCACCTTTGCTGGTGCCATCCGGTATCATAAACTCTTGGAGGACAGAGGAAGCATCTGTGCACACTCAACAAACAAACAAACACACACGCACACGCACACACACACACCAAAAAAAAAAAAAAAAAAAAAAAAAAAAAAAAAAAAAACTCCCTCCGTCTCTCTAACACCGTTCTCTATCTAATTCCCTAGCTTTGGAGAAAACTTCTTTCTACCGCCAACCAGAGAGACTGAGGTGGTGTTTAGATCCAGGGACTTAACTTTAGTCCCTGTCTTTAGACACTAATTTAGAGTATTAAATATAGACTACTTACAAAACTAATTACATAAATAAAAGCTAATTCACGAGACAAATTTTTTAAGCCTAATTAATCTATAATTAGAGAATGTTTACTGTAGCATCACATAGGCTAATCATGGATTAATTAGGCTCATTAGATTCGTCTCGCAAATTAGTCCAAGATTATGGATGGGTTTTATTAATAGTCTACGTTTAATATTTATAATTAATTTTCAAACATCCGATGTGATAGGGACTTAAAAGTTTTAGTCCCATCTAAACAGGGCGAGACCGCCTTCCTCCTTCACTCTCTCAGCATGACTACAAAATCAACACCCTACCCCATAACCATAGGGGACAAACCAACCCAAAATCACACACAGCATGACCACACTTGTCAAAGTGCAAGAAGATGCAGTCAGACTAGACTCATCACTCACTGCTGGCAGAAAGCTGAACGTGTAGGAGAAGACATGGAAGCCTCACCAAACACTATAAGAACCCCCATACTCACCACTGACTGGCAACACATGGTATTAACTACATAAAGCACTCCGCTTTGAGAGCTGTCCTCTCCTTTGAGAACCCTCAAATAGCAGGAATCCCAGGATAAATCTAACAATCAGAAAATTGACTGAAACGAAATAAATTTATTGCCATATCTGATCACAAAATGATTACAAATAACAACAACGACACAACTCAAAAGATCGGACACATATTCATATGATTCCCTTTAAAACCATTTTATCGTATTATTGTGTCGATACAGCAGACCTGCTATTGAACATGACAAAACCTTTATCCTTCCTGATCTAGCTCAGGAAGAGTAAAGTAGGGCCTCAAATCATTGCTTTGGTTCAGTAATTTGAGGCCCTTGGCAATAACTAAAGTCCCACACGACTAAAGCACCCAATACATCATTTCACTGGTGAGCTTGTACATCTCAGACCTGTGCTTCAGCATGCGGAGCCCTCCACCATTGGCACCAGCATCGTCGTCATCGCAGCGTTCCACCTCGACGGCGGTCAACACTGCAAACAGCTCCTCGCCATCACGCTGGTCCTCATCAGTCTGGAATAACCTGGCGATGCAGAACTTGGCAGAGCCTAGGTTCACAAGGTATGAGCTGACAAGCTTGAGGGCATCGGGTGGCGTGAACTCCAGAGGAAGGCTGAGAAGCACTGGCAGATGGCTGCTATCAAGGTCCAAAGCGGAGAGGACCAAGCTCCTCCTGTCTCTAGTGTGTGAGAGGCCAAACCAAAGGCCGTGCTCCTGGCAATACTCGGCGAGACCAACAAATGGCAGGGTCCAGCCGGTGGCCACTGTGCTCCACACATGGCTCACTGTGTTGAAGCAATAGATGCCACTATCGTGCGTGGATATCCAGATGTCCGTGTCACCAACCACCGCATAGGAGTCGACTTGGAAGTCAGACTTGTGGGACAGCAGTGGCGGCGGCGGCGGGAGAGCGCAGCAGCACCAGTCCTCATTTAATCTATCCTCGTAAATGAGCCCATGGAAGCAGGGGACGTTTCCGACCTCAACATGGTCAAGGATATAGAGGTCGTCCCCAACAGTGACGGAAGCAGTAGGCAATTCCAGTTGGTAGGGAAGGGCGGGCAAGGTGCGGACGGCGTGCTCGCCGGGGTCATAGAGGACAGTGCGGCAAGTCTGGTCGGCGGCGACCACCATGTTATGATTGCCTCCAAGGAGCAAGAATTCCATCTGCTGTTTCCCAGGCAACTTGGAGAATGGAGGGTAGAAGGTCATGGCTGGGCAAGGCAGGCTCGCATACTCCGCCGCGTCGGTGCCTGACGCCACGAATGGCACCGGGGATGGACGTGGCAGGAAGAAGCGCTCCATGTCTATGTTGCGCAGTGTGTAGTTGCTGCGGCGGGGAGCAAACTCCTCCAACACCAGATAAACAAACCGACGAATACTCATCGCCCCCCAAATTAAGGAATCTTACTAAAGATTGATTGGATTGCCCTAGCTCTTCTTCTCCCCCACCACGAACAACTGTTGGGAGATCTATCTAGATCGGTGTCTCCCGCATATTTGGGTTAGGGTTAGAGATAGACCACCGGTTGCATTTATTTGTGTTCGTTTTGGACTAAAACTTCCCATCGGAGCGAATAAAAAAAAATATATCCCATCGGAGGCAGGAAGGAGCCTAGCGAAGCCAAACGATCTTTCTCGTTGCAAATCTCACCTTAGTAGAGAGGGAGGGAGGGAGCCGCCGAACCGCTACTCCGGCCGCGAGCGAATCGGAGAGTCGCCGGCGGCGGAAAGACGACGGGAAGGGGATGGCGCGGAGGAAGATGGAGTAGAGGGGTGCGGCGCGGCGGAGTTGGCTGCCTACGAACCCAGCTCTGGTGTGGCGGCAGATAAGGAAGGGGATGAGTGCTGTTAGAAATAATCTTGTTGTACTAGGTGATCATGTTTATTTTGTTGCATGGCATCACATTTAGTTGTAGGAGTAGACTAATTAAGTTGTCAGCTGCACACATTAGTGGTTGTGGCATTATAGAGCTAATCTCCCGTGAAGCACAAAATGTGGTGGAGTGCTTAAAGTAGATTGCCAGCCAAGTAGTGCGTGCGTGCAGATTAGGATTAGTCTCAGGATTATGTGGTGAATTAGTCTTGCATGTATTAGTTAGTTGCAGGTTAGTTGGTTGGTGTGAGCAACGACGTCGGCGAGGACTCAGTAGTGGAGATGCGGACTGAGTCAAGCAGTTGCGATACTTGTGGAGTTGTGACCAAGTAAACCGGACGTGGGCGTCGTGTGTAGCTTGAGAATCGGAACAACCAGCTTCGTGTGTGTATATGCGATTAGTAGTATGCGAGGGTTATAAATAGCTGCTCATTGTAATCATTTGTTTAAGTGTGAATAAAATTAGCAAGAGAAAAGGCACTAGTTGCGTGCTTGTGCCACAAAATACTCAATGTGCTGTGTTCTTCTTTCTTGTGCTCTTCACGTGTAAGTGTGATTTGTGTCCACTGTGTTCGCGTGAGTTCCCTTGATTCCTAACAAGTGCGGCGGCGTCCGGGGAGCACGGCGGGTGGGAAGGGAGGAAGGGGGACGGCATGTGATTTAGCCAGGGCTATTTTGGCTATGGATAATATTTCCAAGTAAAACAATAGTACTCGTATGTCCCATAATGTAATATAAAAAAAACAAGTAAATTATATAATTCTAAAAGGTTTTCAACACCTTTATCCTCCTGGTTGTCTGGCACTTGTGGTTAGAAAGCAATGTCGTGTTTTTGACGGTGTGGTTAGAAAGCAATGTCGTGTTTTTGACGGTGTTCTATCACAGTGCCAACGATGGTGAAGCGGATTATGCAAGAAGGGCGACTATGGGTTGAGGCAACGACCAATCCTATTGGGAGGCTGTCAGTCACATAGCTTAGCTTCGTTTCTCTCACATTCCTCTTAGGAGTCACACTGAGTTTAGGTAGCTCTCCAGCACCATATTGTACCTTCCTACCTCTTTGTAATCGCCTTGACGTGTTACCGATGTATGCTACTCTTTTCCTAATACATTAATGTGCAAAGCTTTTGCGTGTTCACGAAAAAAAATATGTCTGTGTCGCCGACCACAGCGTAGGAATCAGGTCGAAAGGAAGGCGGCGAGAGACCACAACAGCGCCATTCCTCGTCGCCGCCGTAGATGAGCCCATGGTAGCAACCACCAGCGACCGGGTTGTATCGAAGGATGTAGAGGTCGTCGCCGAGATGCTGGCGGTGATGGAGTCAAGCGAATCCGAAGCCCTGAGATAGGTCGGGAAGACGAAGGCAGACAGGGTGCGAATGGCGTACTTGCCGAGGTCATAGAGGACGGTGCGGCTACTCTGGTCAGCGGTGACCACCATGTTGTGGTTGCCGCCGAGGAGCACGAACCTCATCCGCTCCGTGCCGCCAAACCACCTGGAGAGGGAGGCAGGGCAGAAGCTCATGGTATGCCGAGGCAGGCTACCATACTCCATCACGTCATGCGCTCCGCCAGTAGCCGCCGACGCTGGTGAGGGGCACGGGTGGAAGACCCGGGACATGTCGACGATGTTGCGCAGCGTGTAGTAGTGGCGGTCGCGACTGTATTCATAACTCATCAAACACCATGTCAACAAATCATCGCCGATCAATCAAGCCAGCGATTCAGCTCCTACAGATCTACGAATGAATTTTAATAATCCTATTTTAGCAAATTTCACAAGAAAACTGCTCTTTCGTTTAACTTTTTTCCTAGTCAAATTTCTTCAAATTTGATCAAGTTTATAGAAAAACATATTAATATTTTCAACACAGAACAAACATATTATGAAAATTTATTACATGTTAGATTTAATTAAACTAATTTGCTATTTTATATGTTGCTAATTTTTTTATAAACTTGATCGAACTTAACAAAGTTTGATTAGGAAAAAGTCAAACGACTTATAAGATGAAATGGAGGGAGTATGTTTTAGAGCATGCGTAAACAAAAAAAAACTCCAAGTGTCTTAATTTGTTTTAAACCATATGTTTTGAGAATATATATATATATATATATATATATATATATAAAATACTTATTTGCATTATTACTATTTTTAATATATATTCACATATAAGTAGGCTCAAAATACACACTTCTCATGCCTAATTTATCTTCTTCTTCACTCTAGCACTCAATGATTGCACAAACTCAACACAAATCCTTATTGTTAACTAGATGAAACTTCGCACATTGATGCAAGAGTTTAATATGATAATAGTAGTGTTAACAGTAAAATTTGGTAAAGCCCGAAGTTATCATCAGCTTAGAGTCAATATCGGCTTTAGAGTATTGGAATCAGCCGATTGGAGGAAACAGCCGATGGGAGTCATCAAGTTGCCATGCTGTCGTGTTCTTGGTGGAGTCAGATCAATCAAAGGAAGCTTATCTAGAAGAGTTCGAGTTCAAGAAGGATGCGGCATGGCAGTTTATCTATTAATTAGGCATAGTTTGTTAGTTTCCTTTTATCTTTAGGAAAGTGTGTTTAGTGTCCGATAAGGACTTTATCTTTTCTTTTTATCTTTAGGATAGTTTCTTTCTTGTCCGACAAGGACTTGTATCAACCCATGGGTATAAATATGTACACCCGGGGTCTATGTAATTATCTTCACGATCAATACAATTCGGCGCATCGCCACCCTTTTTACTTCTACTTTTGTTTTTACGTTCCGGCGGAACTTGGCACTCGACGCGGGGCTGCATCGTCTTCGATCTCTGGCGAATGGATAAGTCCAATGTTCTACCGGTCCAGGCAATTGTATCGTCTACGTCGGTGTCGTTCAAGGCTACATCAATACATTTGACCTCCTGGATTACTCTGGTTTGGATAATATATTTGCCTGGCTATTTATCATATGTCTATGTTAATCTAGTCCTAGCATCTCAATTTAGCTCTATCGGCCGTCTCTCGCTTTAGGGTTTCTACCGGTATCGGCTAAATCGCCTGCTAGATTAGATTAGCCTAGGCATCTACCACCCTGAAAATCAGTCAACGGCTTTGACGGAGCGTGGGGCTCCTCACCGGGAGACCGCGCAGGCCCCCCTTTGCCGGTTCGGCCGGGGGCCCTGGGTGAGATTCTAAGCTCCTGGTCTGAGTGTGGAAGGTTCGCGAGAGTGAAAACACACAAGACACGGGCGATGTATACAGGTTCGGGCCGCTGAGAAGCGTAATACCCTACTCCTGTGTTTTGGTGGATCTGTGTATGAAGAAGCTACAAAGTGCGAGCCAGCCCCCGATCGTTCCGGGATCCTTTTTTCTCCTAAAAATCATCCCCCCCCTTCTAAGTGGGCAAGGTCCTCCTTTTATACCTCAAGGGGATACCACATGCACCATCTCTCTCTTTTTTGTGGGGACTTATCCTCTCTTCCCTCCAACTTGACTTTTCTTCATTAATGGACGGAGATCTGTATGGCTGCCGTCCGAATGACCTTCTGATGGGACGGCCCATACCTACCTCCACTTCCACCGGAAGCAGGCGCGACGTGGGAACATGGCTGTCTGCTGACGACATGACCATTGTCAGACCGGTCACAAATCGGTCATTCTTGTCCACCACGTGTCAGTTTAACAATCTGCATGTTCGCCCTTCTTCATACAATATCTTGCCTGTAATGGTTAGGATGAAGCCTGGCATATATCTGACCGGAACCAACGTGCCATCTCCAGGAGCTAACACGCCGGCTCCAGCTAGGGACGAGTGCTTGGAGGCTCTCGTCCTGACGGGATGGGGCGAGGCGTGCGTCAGACCGCCTGTCGCCACCTAACCCACGATTTGACCGGTCTGTGACTGATCACAGACCGGATGAACGAGCGCGCTGCACTGCGTTACATGCGGCGTGACGCGCTCATCCAAACCGCAATAAATGCGGTTAGGTGAGCGCCGCTGCGCTCACCTAACCCATACACGCGGCGTAAAATCCACAAGGGGTCGGGGCACCCCAGCCCTCGGGGCCGAAACGGGAGCGGTCCGACCCCTCGGGGAGACAAAGAGAAGAGCGGCCGTATCACCCTCGGGCCCGACCCCCCCGAGGGGGTTAGGCCACGTGGGTGATCGTGTCTGCCTCAAGTCTCTAAGTCATGATACTCCCGGTCCCATGTCACCGACAGGCTTGATTGTCTAGATATTGTGTTTCTTTTCATACTTAGTGCTGCATCAGTTAAGTTTGATCTACTAAGTCGTGCTTAGAACCATAATCTCTAGCCTGCTTTTTGACTGCCAATAATGGTTTCATCGGGGTTTCAGCTGATGAGTTATCTGGACATTGCATCGGTTTATAAGGATTGTATACATATTGGATTTAGCCGATCGCAACAAAGATTTTACTGTTTAATCTAATCTTGTGGATTTTATGACATCGGACCTCCAGCCGATGTATGCTTTAACCTTCGGATCAATACTTGTTCTACTATATCATTGCTAGCCGATTGGTTTCTATTGGACTAGATTATATTGCTATATTATATTATCATCAGCCGATTGCCTTCATATCATTATCTACATTGTACATATAGCCGATAGCTCAGAACCCTATCGCTATCAGCTGGCATCGGCTATCGGCTGGAATCGGCATCGGCTGGAATCACTCCATCGGCTTGTTAGCCGATCGGCTCATTGATCTGCTGTTTATATATCTTGTCAGTTGCAGAATCAAACTAACTGGCACGCTCGCATCTCAACAATCTTTGGACCTGCACAGGAGTTAAGCAGATCTCCCAGGTCGGTGTGTTCGATTTTTTCGTCAACAAGTAGAGATAGCGTGTAAGATATCTATACAACATAAGCTTATATAAGATCGATCATTGGAAAAAGCTATAAAACCAGTAAGTTGACGTGGTTTATGATAATTTAAATAGTATATAGATTAATAATCTAAAAGCAAGAGTAATGTGATGTCGCTTCATGAGAGAAGGAAATAAGTGAGA